CTTCCAGCATGGTCCATCCATAATGCCCACCTTGTCATCCCCTTGTCTGAGATTGACTGGGACTTCTCTGTTGCCTAAGATAGTAGTTCTCCAGGTGTGGTGCCTAGACAGAAGCATCAGCATCACCACGGAACTTGTCAGAAATGCAGATTCTCGGGCCCCACTATAGAGTGTCTACTGAATCAGACTCTCTGCAGATGGGGCCCAGCTCTCTGTTTAAATAAGCCTTCCAAAGGAATCTGTTATGGAAAGTTTGAAAACCACTACTAGCTTAAGGCAATGAAACCCAATCTCCTTGGAGTAGTGGGTTGACTAGTACCCCTGAATCCATGTCTACTCAGAACCTCAGAATGTGACCGTATTTGGAAATTGAACCTTTGCAGATACAATTAGTTAAGGAGTTTTAGATGAGCTCAGACTGAGGGAGGGTCCTAAATCCAGTGATTGATATCCTCATAAGAAGAGGAGATTCGGGTTCGATCCCCAATCCAGGAAGGTCCCACATGCCACAGAACAGCTAAGCCCATGCACCACAGCTCCTGAAGCCTGTGCCCTAGAGCCTGTGCTCCGCAACGAGAGAAGCCACTGCAATGAGAAGCCCATGCACTGCAACTAGCGAGTAGGCCCTACTCTCTGTGAGTAGAGAAAACCCAAGAAGCAACAAAGATCCAGCACAAAAATAAATAAATAAATGTAGTGGGAAAAAAGAAAGAAAACATAGTGAATTGATGAATTCTTTCACATTTGCTGTGTGCCAGGTATTGTGTCGGTACTGGGGATGCTAAGACGAATAAGACACAGTCCAACCCCCAGGGCAATTGGAGCTGTCAGTCCAGTTCTGTTCACTGATGTATAAATAGTTCCAGAATCACTTGGGAGAGAAGTGATGGCATTATACACAGAATATTATGGAAGCACTACAGAAAAGCATCTATTCCAGGGTGGGGATGAGGAGAGAAGGAGAAAGCTCAGAGATGGAGTAAAGACATAATGAAGTGATAATTCAGCTCCATAGTTGTAGACAGCCCAGTTGGTTAGCTTGTAGTTAGTGCAATAGGAACCCAAGACATAGTGTGAAGAATTTCTACCCAAACCCTAATTCATGTTTACCTCTTATTAGATATATTAATACAACCTCAGACAAATAACCTAACCTCTCTTTGCATCACTTTCCACAATTTTTAAAGAGGACTAATAATAATAGTACCTTCCTATTAGAATTGCTGTGTGGACTGACACTTGTATATATGGAGTGTTTTGTAAAGGGCTCAACTTTCGTGGACCACTGTGCTCAAAGCTCTTCACTGTTTCGCAAGAACTTAAAAAATGTCTGTTGTTATTGTCATCATCATTTCAAAAGGCCCTTTTCCACCTCCAGTGATGCCCACTGCTGCTGGGCGTTGGGGTGATGTTGCTGTGCTGTGGAGCAGAGAGGCTTGGCTGTGTTGGGATGTGCTCAAACCCATCCTCTACCCCAAGTGCCGCAGGCTCCTGCACCTTCAGAGTTCCTGGGTCAAGTTTTCAGTTGCATGCTCCTCCTTCTGTCAGTGTATTTGTCCTTGCCAGTCTTTATCCCGCACCTCTTTTAAATGACTGCTTTTAATCTATTATCGCCAAGAAACCTCCAAAGCCAAGACTGTGTAATTTTGCCTAAAAAGTAGCTAGACTTCATGTGGGAGAGTTGTCATTAAATAAAGCTTGCTTTAGTGCATGTCATGTTTTGATGGCAGAGGCCATTTTTGTTTCCTCTTCTGGATGGTGATGATCTAAAGGACTAACATTCCAGGATAAAAGTTTTCCTGATAGGAGAGTTATTCCTGCGAAGTCTAGGCTGGTTTCTATTTGGGGGTCACTGTGATTCTTTGAGTTTGGGGATCACAGTGTAAAGCACTCTTGGTTAAAGCCATACTTACTTTTGTCTCAAATTCCCTATCACATTTCAGCTGTCTTTAGAACCTTGCTTCTTTTCTCAGGAATCTTGATCTAGGCCCCACCTGTCATGTATCTCTCGGGTGTTCACAGTCCACCGCGTAGTCTCCATTTCAGACAATATTTGTGTTGGCTAAATATTAGCACAAGCGAGTCATAAACGTGGCATCTTGACAAACACCCTGGGGATCCCTGAGCAGATGTTCTGACATTTACGAGTTGGTTTTCATTTCCAGGCACTCACAATGACACTTCCTTCGTCAGCAGTGTGCTGAGCTGGTCTCGCCAGGATCGTGCTGTGAGGTTCACCATTTTCAGACTCTGGGCTCATCAGCATTGCCACAGGAGCATTTAGAAATCCCAACACCCAGGCCAACTACCAGACCAATTAATTCAGACTCTCTGGGGGTGGGACTCAGGCCTTGCTGGATTTTAGAACCCCCAGGTGACGCCAACATCCAGGCAAGTTGAAGGACTTGTTCCCCAGGCTGGTACTTCTCAACTTCAATGTGCATGGGAAACACTTGGGGATCTTATTGAGTGTAAATTCTGATTAAGTAGGTCTGGGTGGGCCTGAGATTCCGTGTTTTTTTTCTTTGTCTGTGTTAGGTCTTAACTGTGGCACATGGACCCGGAAGTGCGAGGGCTTCAGTAGTTGCTGCAAGCGGGTTCTCTATTTGGGGTGTGTGGGCTTAGCTGTTCCTCGACATGTGAGATCTTAGTTCCTTGATCAGGGATAGAGCTCTTGTCCCCTACATTGCAACTTGGATTCTTAACCACTGGACTACCAGGAAAGTCCCAGATTCTGTATTTCTAAAAGCACCCAGACCATGTGGACATTGCTTCTAGCCTAGGGTCCATGCTATGAGTAGAAAGTCAGTAGTACTTTTTTAGCACCTGTTCATTAGTCTGGAAAAAATTTTCCAGAAATCAATAGTCCTCTTGAGTTTGTGATGATTTCCACATTTATCCATGGCACCCCTAGATCTTGCTCCCTATATTTCAGTTCTTGTGACCCCTATAGCCACACTCTTGTGACTAAGTCATCTCACTCTTTGTCACAATGTTCTATTTTCCTCCAAATGGTTATTCTTTTGAAAATAACTCACACAGTGGAAGAGTCATTTGGCTGAACCTAAGCTTTTTTCATGAGGATCTATTTTTCTGTCTCTGCACAAAGCTCATTGAGCAGAGACATGGCCTCTAGACTAAGCAGACTCTGAACACTGTGTTTCAGCAAATGATGATAATATGCCAGTGTCAGTTCTTACTGCTCCAAATAGGTTAGATAGAAACACTATGTCTGGAATTCAGAAAAATCAGGGATGATGGCAAAAGGATTGGAGAAAAACACAAAGGAAAAAAATTTTAAGCTTTCAGAATTGACTAGGATTCCATATCAGAATACCTACCTTGGAAAATATGATTTCCAACTTTCAAATGGCTTTAGACCAATATATGTCAAACAGTTATCTGTGGACCCTGCTTTATGGACATATTTCGAGAGATTCAGCTTTCCTAGTAGGCTTTTTGAACTGTTGTTTTGGAGAAGACTCTTGAGAGTCCCTTGGACTGCAAGGAGATCCAACCAGTTCATCCTAAAGGAAATCGGTCCTGACTCTTCATTGGAAGGACTGATGTTGAAGCTGAAGCTCCAATTCTTTGGCCACCTGATGCAAAAAACTGACCCACTGGAAAAGACCCTGATGCTGGGCGGGAAAGATTGAAGGTGGAAGGAGAAGGGGACAATAGAGGATGAGATGATTGGATGGCATCACTGACGCTATGGACCTGAGTTTGAGTAGGCTCTGGGAGTTGGTGGTGGACAGGGAAGCCTGGCATGCTGCAGTCCATGGGGTTGCAAAGAGTCAGACACGACTGAGTGACTGAGCTGAACTGAACTGAAAAACTAGCATGAAGCATGCTGGATCATCAGGTTGAGCAAGCGCTAGCTAGCACATGATCTCAATGCCTGTGTTTGTGTTTCTATTTATAAAGCATGCCAAATAACATACTTTAATTGTTACAAGCTCATGATAAAAGAACAAAGAACAGAAGGAGGTTTAATGTAAAAAGCCTGCATTTTAGCCAAGAGAATGCCCAGTTGTCTTACAGGGAGTCTTATAAACAAAAATTTCTCAGTAGTTAAGATAGAGAAATGTGATGGGAGAACTAAGAAGTCACACACCACATCATATTTCAGAGATGCTGTAACTCAGAAAAACCACATAATATCTATCCGTGCCATTTTTGCATTGAGCCCAGCATTTAACCTCAGCACAATAACATTATCTATTACACTAAATCAACAACATACTTTTGCACATCATGGACTTGTATTTTGCTAATGTTTAGTTTGCAAATGTGTTTTGGTTGAGTGTGTGTGTGTGTGTGTGTGTGTGTGTGTGTGTGCTCTTTCGCTCAGTTGTGTTGACTCTTTACAACCCCATGAACTGTAGCCCACCAGGCTCCCCTGTCGGTGAAATTTTCCAGGTAAGAATAGTGGAGTGGGTTGCCACTTCCTTCTCCAGTTGATCCTCCTGACCCAGGGACTGAACCTGAGTCTCTTGTGTCTCCTACATTGGAAGGCAGATTCTTTACCACTTAGCCACCACCAGGAAGTATAGTTGCTTTAAAACTATAAGCATCTTAGTTTTAAGTTTGTACATATTCAAGTCATTTTCTAATGCAGTCATTTGTCCTTGAAAAAGATTTTGCATTTACTTATCTAGAAACACAGTCTTAGAACATATCATTTTTTATGCATGTTAAATTCCACTAATATTTTCTACAGTGTCATAGGAGCATAGTGTAGATCACATTCCCTGCTCCAGGGCACCATTAAGGGATGCTGTTGGGAAGGGAAGCTCAGTGCCTAGATTAAATTTTCACCATAGGTGCAAATATGGTAACAAACATTTTCCAGGGAAAAATGTCCCTGCTTGGAAGGAATGCCTCATGGGGACCTTTTCAGATTGGAGGGTTCAGCATGACAAGTCACTGGTGAGTAACATGGGGCCCGTGAGAAAGCCTGGTCATACCTATGGTTTGGAGGGAAAATAAATGCTTACAGGCTGGTGGGACTCTGGCTCTCCACTCCCTGATGGGTGGCTGAGAGGCTGCAGATCTGCCGAGGGTAGGGCCTGCCCTTTGGGCAACTGTTGACTGCCTTCTGGCAGGGAGTAAGATTGGCTCTGAGGATTCAAAAAAGAAATACATGAAATGCTAGACCACTCACACAAGCCACAGCCCCATGGGGTTGACTTTCAAGGGATGAAAATACCCTCTTAAGTAGCTAAGGCAGGGGCCAATGTTTTTTCTGAGGTCCTCTGCACGGATCAGAAGTATCTTATTTTATTTAAAAAAGTATTTAAAAAATTAAAAAAAAATTTTTTTTCTTTTGGCCACACCACACAGTTATGGGGATCTTAGGTCCCTGACCAGGGATCAAACCCATGCCACCTGCATTGGAAGCTTAGAGTCCTAACCACTGGCCCACCAGTGAGTTCCCAGGATCAGGAGTATCTTAAAAGTAGGCTTCAGTTTCTCTGAAAGACCAATTAAATGGAAGCCTCATAACCTTGGCTACTATGATAATGGTATTTACAAAGGATTTTAAAAATAATGCCTGTCTGACAATGCTTGTAGGTTTGCAACCATCTGAGTGCAAGTCTGATGTAGGGCAAAGGAGAAATATCTTATAAATAAAGAAAAATTTGGATTTTTATTCTCTTCATTCTTAGTGTACACACAATAAATCCTTCTTCCTGTGGGAAGTTACAGTAGGTGCTGCAAAACGTTATTAAAATTCTTATTGCCATAGCTTTGGGTATACCTTTTTCACTGTAAAAAAAAAAATCAGGATTTGACTCTGAACTGCCTTGTACCTAGTTAGTTCCAAATGGTAGTATTTTCATCAATTTTTAGCCATTTATAGTTTATGGACATGTTATTCACATGAGCCTAGACATTCAGAAGAAAAGTAAAATATTAAATCTATTCTGTGAATATTTACAAATACCCAGTACCTGGTACTGGGATATTTTCACCTTTCAATCCAAGCTATATGGGCTTGTGAGAATCCCTGTAGCTTTGTCTACTGATATTTACAACATGAACCTGTATTCCCAAAACATTGAGGGCGACATCTATGAAGCTTTGTGTAGTTTTGCTACAAACTAACAGCTTTAATCACACATTCCTTAAACACCATTTTAACCACTTGCGCTCTGCAAAGCATTGTTTTCCACCTTGTTCCAAATACTTCTCTTTCATCCCTTCTAAAATATTTCTAATGGAAAAAAAATACATTCCAAATGCATTTTCAAAGCATAGTTTGCTGCTGTGAAAACCAACAATTAGGAGAGATCACAATGATAAAGTATTAAAGTATCAATCATAATTTCATAATTTAAATTTCTCCACATGTTAACCAAAATTAGAACTTGATTTGAGTCCCGAGAGCAATAAATACTTACATGACGATTGCCCATTTTCGTTTCTTCAGAGAGAGTTGTTCTGTATTTCGTGAAGAGATCAGTTCTCCTAAAGGCCAAGTTTAAAATGGCTTTCCCAGGGCATAATATCTCTTGAGTTTAATAAGTAACCATTGGCATTGCATTTGAATACGTTGCTGGGGATGGGTGGGGAGTGACTCCAGCAACAACTGATCTTAACCTGCCCATCCTGCCTTGGTTGGCCATCTTTTTAAAAGTAAGATATTTTTTTAAAAATAAATTAATTATAGGCTTTTAAAGTTGATCTTATTCACAACTAAAGGGCTAAGCCTGCCTCACTCTTGAATTATTGAAAGCGTTACTCTTTTTTTTTTAGGTGTTCATTTAGAATTTTATACTTTGGAGTGATAAAAGCATTAACCAAACAAGACTAAAAATCTTTTTATTTCACTAATATCACCATTATTGTTACAGAGGATCTTTTTGAAGGCTGCACTGAGTTATGCTACCATCATTTTTTATAACCTAGCTAGCTTCTAAATTTATTTATTTATTTATTTTTATTAGTTGGAGGCTAATTACTTTACAATATTGTAGTGGGTTTTGCCATACATTGACATGAATCAGCCATGGATTTACATGTGTTCCCCATCCCAATCCCCCTCCCACCTCCCTCCCCATCCGATCCCTCTGGGTCTTCCCAGTGCACCAGCCCTGAGCACTTGTCTCATGCATCCAACCTGGGCTGGTGATCTGTTTCACACTTGATAGTATACTTGTTTCAAGGCTACTCTCTCTGAACATCCCACCCTCGCCTTCTCCCACAGAGTCCAAAACTCTGTTCTATACATCTGTGTCTCTTTTTCTGTTTTGCATATAGGGTTATCGTTACCGTCTTTTTAAATTCCATATATATGCATTAGTATACTGTATTGGTCTTTATCTTTCTGGCTTACTTCACTCTGTATAATGGGCTCCAGTTTCATCCATCTCATAGAACTGATTCAAATGAATTCTTTTTAATGGCTGAGTAATATTCCATTGTGTATATGTACCATAGCTTCCTTATCCATTCGTCTACTGATGGGCATCTAGGTTGCTTCCATGTCCTGGTAATTATAAACAGCACTGAGATGAACATTGGGGTGCACGTGTCTCTCTCAGATCTAGTTTCCTTGGTGGTATGCCCAGGAGTGGGATTGCTGGGTCATATGGCAGTTCTATTTCTAGTTTTTTAAGGAATCTCCACACTGTTCTCCATAGTGGCTGTACTAGTTTGCCATTCCCACCAACAATGTAAGAGGGTTCCCTTTTCTCCACACCCTCTCCAGCATTTATTGCTTGTAGACTTTTGGACAGCAGCCATCCTGACTGGCGTGTAATGGTACCTCGTTGTGGTTTTGATTTGCATTTCTCTGATAATGAGTGATGTTGAGCATCTTTTCATGTGTTTGTTAGCCATCTGTATGTCTTCTTTGGAGAAATGTCTGTTTAGTTCTTTGGCCTAGCTTCTAAATTTAAAAATAACATGTGCAGATGGTACATTTTCCCCCTAATAATATGAAAAGGCACCATGAAAAGTAAGCCTACTGACCACTCAGCCCCTCCCCTCTGAGATTTGAGTCCTTGCAGAAATGGTATGCACACACAGCCATGTTTATCTGTCTATCTACCATTGGCTTCTTTTTCTCAAAAAATGGGTTTGTGCATTGCCTTTTTTCCGTGCCTTGTGGGCTTCATTTAGTAAACAAATACAAGACATTGGCACAGTTCTTTTTTGGTGACTACATGTTAGTCTACTATGGGTATGAACCAAACTTTATTTAATCAGTCCACTATCTAAAGTTGTTTAGGTTGTTTTGGTCTTTTGCACGACTGTCTCCATTTATGCATATTTGCATATGTGTGCATGTCTATCTATAGAATAAAATCTTAGAATGCAATTGTTGGCTAAAGAGTTCTGTTCTGTTCAGTTCAGTTCAGTTGCTTAGTCATGTCCAACTCTGTGACCCCATGGACCACAGCCCGCCAGGCTTCCCTATCTATCACCAACTTCCTGAGCTTGCTCAAACTCATGTCCATTGAGTCGGTGATGCCATTCAACCACCTCATCCTCTGTCGTCCCCTTCTCCTGCCTTCAATCTTTCCCAGCATCAGGGTCTTTTCCAATGAGTCAGTTCTTTGCATCAGGTGGCCAAAGTATTGGAGCTTCAGTTTCAGCTTCAGCATCAGTCCTTCCAATGAATATTCAGGACTGATTTCCTTTACGATGGACTGGTTTAATCTCCTCACAGTCCAAGGGACTCTCAAGAGTCTTTTCTAACACCGCAGTTCAAAAGCATCAATTCCTCAGTGCTCAGCTTTCTGTACAGTCCAACTCTCACGTCCATGTGCTTTAAAATTCCGAGAGATGCTGCCAAGTTGTCCTACACACAGACATAAAAATGTTGAATGACTTTCAAAGACCTGACTTTCAAGACAATGTGTATACTCTTCTACAGTTATATGCCAGGGCTTCTTTCTCCACATATTGTCCAGTCCTAAAGATTATCAAACTTCTTCATTTCTGCCAATTTCAAAGATAAAAATGGCTAGCTCATGGTTAATTTACATTCCTTTGATATTCTTCAAATAATATATCCTTGTCCTTAAAAGCCATTTGTATGAGTTTTACAGTGTTCTGCTTGTTTATGTCCTTTATTTTTATTTTGAGTTAGTAGAATTTTTATTATTTAATAACTTATATAACAAAATCCATGCCTTTGTCAAGTATGACAGTTATAATTTCCCAATTTATCCTTTGTCTCTGTTTATGTTTGGAACGTGTATATATGTGTATATGTGTCTGAAGGAAGTGTTAATTTTTACATATTTAAATATATCCATTCTTTCTTCTTTGGACTGCTTAGGGAAAAAGTCTCTGCGTTAAAATTATTAAGACTTCTTGTACATCCTTGTTTTCAAGTTTTTTTTTAAATGGCTTAATTTTTTTTAAGGTTTATGTATTTGACTCATTTGGAATTGATTTTGATGTAGAATAAAGAAGAAATGGATTCTGCTTTAGTTTTGGTTATTTAATCGATCATAGATGGTTATTAATTAATCCATCTTTCCTCCTCTGGTCTAAGATGCTGTCTTTATTTTATGCCACCTGCCCATATTACTTAGGATGAAAATTCGTATAGGTTTATTATCTCTGCTTATATTCTCATTCTTTTGTTCTTTAACCTTTATCTATTGAGTCTCTTGGGTGGGTTGATCACTGGGACTACAACAGTGAACAAAATGAATATGAATATTTTCTCTTTCTGGAATGTACAGCCAAGCTGAGGAAATGTACAAAGCATTATTACAAACTGTACTATGGACTGTGGTGGAACCAAACAGAATGCCATGATGGATGCAAATGCGTGTGTGTGCACATATGCATGCATAAGTGCAAGGGTGTGTATCAGTTCAGTCTAGTTCAGTCACTCAGTCATGTCTGACTCTTCGCAACCCCATGAACCGCAGCACACCAGGCCACCCTGTCCATCACCAACTCCCGGAGTCCCCCAAACCCATGTCCACTGAGTCGGTGATGCCATCTAACCATCTCATCCTCTGTTGTCCCCTTCTCCTCCTGCCCTCAATCTTTCCCAGCAGCAGGGTATTTTCAAATGAGTCAGCTCTTCGCATCAGGTGGCCAAAGTATTGGAGTTTCAGCTTCAACATCAGTCCTTCCAATGAACACCCAGGACTGATCTCCTTTAGCATGGACTGGTTGGATCTCCTTGCAGTCCAAGAGATTCTCAAGAGTCTTCTCCAACACCACAGTTCAAAAGTATCAATTCTTCGGTACTCAGCTTTCTTTGTAGTCCAACTCTCACATCCATACATTACCACTGGAAAAACCATAGCCTTGACTAGACAGACCTTTGTTGACAAAGTAATGTCTCTGCTTTTTAATATGCTGTTCAGGTTGGTCATAACTTTCCTTCCAAGGAGTAAGTGTCTTTTAATTTCATGGCTGCAGTCACCATCTGCAGTGATTTTGGAGCCCAGAAAAATAAAGTTAGCCACGGTTTCCACTGTTTCCCCATCTATTTGCCATGAAGTGATGGGACTGGATGCCATGATCTTAGTTTTCTGAATGTTGAGCTTTAAGTCAACTTTTTCACTCTCCTCTTTCACTTTCATCAAGGGGTTCTTTAGTTCTTCTTCACTTTCTGCCATATGGGTGGTGTCATCTGCGTATCTGAAGTTATTGCTATTTCTCCCGGCAATCTTGATTCCAGCTTCTGCTTCCTCCAGCCCAGCGGTGTGTATAATCTACTCTAAACAGAAATAGAACTCTTTAAAGAGCTAGCATTTAGGCTATGAACCAAAGGATGAGAAGAAGGGCATCATTTGAAATGAGAAAGTCTTCCAGATCAGATGTTTTAGTTTATGCTATGGCTCTAGAAACAGGAAAGTGAAGTCCTTCAGTTGTGTCTGACTCTTTGTGACCCCATGGACTGTAGCCTACCAGGCTCCTCCATCCAAGGAATTTTCCAGGCAAGAATACTGGAGTGGGTTGCCATTTCCTTCTCCCAGAAACAGGAAAGAGCTTTGCAAATGGTAGGAAATGAAAGATGGCCAAGGAGACTGGAGTCTATGGTGTGTCAGGTGGGATGCTGGGTGCTGGAGATACAGTGGTAAGCCAAACACTGCCTCTCCTCTGGGTACCACAGTGGAATGGGGCAGAAGGCAAGAAGACTTAAATTAACAACTAACATTTTGACTGTTCATGATTGTTTTGTCTTTAGTGTCTAATTTGTGTTCTATCATTCACTGCCTCCTTTGCCATCTCCGTATTTCTTGGGGCCAAGCCTTTCCTGCCCCACCCCTGTGCCGGCTTTGGAATCGACCTCTGTGTCACTAACCCCTCCTAGAACCCTTGATCAATGAGTCTCCCTTCCTCCCTTCCTCTCCCACCCCAGGCTGTTGAGGATTAAAGTTCAGGAGGAACAGGGCACGCGGTGCTCACTGTGGCGATAAGTTCTGTTCAAGGGTAC